GATAAGTACACATGTGAAAATATAAATGAATGGATTGGTCATGTGATTATATACTTAATAACATTAATATATCTGTGAATAACTGGAAATTTTCATGAAAAAAAATTTTTTTTATAAAATAATTAAAATTTCAATATTTTATTAAAATTAAATTATTAAATTCTAGATGCCCGAAGAATTGCAAGGGTTACCTGCTAGTTTTTTATATTTCTATTTAATCTCAAGTGTGGATAATTAAAATAATTATATATTGTAATTGTTCTTTGATATATGCGTGATTATTGTATCATTCGTTGTCTTAGCGATAGATTTGATAGGTGTGGTCTTGGTGGTACTGGTGGTTGGTGTTGTCAATATTTTAATTTCACAATATTTTTATATAATAATGTAAAATTAAGTATAAAATTTTTTTTTTAAATACTGTACCTCATTTCATGATTCCCTTAATATCGTATATTGACCTTTTTATATAGATATACTGTATATATGGAGCAGTACTGTAATTTTCATATAAGGCTCGATTTATCAGTCCCTTGTCTATAATTTCCATATAAGGCGTAGTTTATCAGGCCCTTGTAGTACAGTTCCATATAAGGCTCAGTTTATCAGGCCCTTGTAGTACAGTTCCATATAAGGCTCAGTTTATCAGACCTTGTAGTACAGTTCCATATAAGGCTCAGTTTATCAGACCTTGTAGTACAGCTCCTATAGTTTAACGTTGGAATTACGCTTGAGAAGAACCAATACCTTCGCGGTCTAAAATAGGAACTTTACCGGCAAAACATCTTTCTTTTATCAATCAGACTGTATTTGGTGCATCTACAATAATGTCATTGTCTATTAAGAATGATAAAAGTATAGAATGGTTGGATATGGAATTTAAAAATCGCTACGCTAGATTTGAACAGTTTCAGACTATTGCAATTGGGGGCTTTGGTAAGATCAAAAAGGCATACTCGAGAAGGGCCAGAAAAACTGTGGTTCTAAAAGGCTTTCGTGAATATATTAAGAACAACCATTATGATCACAAATCTTTTGTAAACGAGGTAATAGTATTTTTCGTCTTTAGCATCGCACACTGAATTTACTCATGTATCTGGCTTTATAGTTAAAAAGCATCGGTACTATTGATAATAACGATAATGTTATTAGATTTTATGGAATTACTCAAGGTATGCATATAAAAAACAATTGCTATTTTAAAAGTTTTTTGTGCTTATGTATTATATACATATTCTTAGATCCAAGGATAGACACTTACTACATAGAGTTTCAATATGCTAATAGAGGAAACCTTCGCGATTATTTACAATATCGTTTTTCCGAACTCGAGTGGTCAATAAAAATCAAAATGTCTAAAGAAATTGCGAGTGGTCTGTGTTACATACATAAAACTAATATCGTTCACCGAAAACTTGTAAGCAGCTATAATAATTTTTATATTTTGATTAATGGAAATCTACTAATTATAATTTCAATATCACAGCGTTCTAAAAACATTTTAATACACGATGATCGATTGATGATCACTGACTTTGGGATATCACAGGAAATTGTGAAATCTGTATCTTATTGCGATCCACAGTTTTTAAATAACCCTTCCTACAGACGAGGGAAATCTTCGGATATCTATAGTCTGGGCCTTATGTTTTGGGAAATATCAAGTGGAAAAATTCCAAATAGATACTTCAGCCTAATTGATCTTATTAAGGGTAAAAGAGAAACACCGTCTGACGGCACACCGTTAGATTACGTTAACATTTATTCTAAAGCATGGCAAAATGATCCGAGTGAACGTCCCACGATTGAAATTATTGTAGAAAAACTCGAAAAGATTAAATATCGGCCCGTATTTCAAAAAAAGGCAGACACAACTGTAATTCATTGGGATAGAATTCATTGTGATGATAATTTGTATTCATTTAAAGATTCGAATGTTTTATATGTTCATAAGTCTGCTAAAAGGCTCGATAACGACGGTCCGATTTTTTTATGGGAAAGAGCTCTAAATAAGGCCTTGTACAAAAATAAAATAGGTAATTTGCAGGATTTATTGAAGTCATGGATATTGTTTTATTTAACTATTATTGTTTAAAATATACCAACGTAAAATTTATTTCGTTAATAATTAAGCAATCAGAGATAACCATAGTATTTTAGAAGTAAATATGGTAGAAACGAAATATGTCTCGTCACTCGAGAAACTAACAACTAACTTTATTCATTCTGGTATGTAATAAAAGAAATTTTATAGTTGTTTAAAATTTTTAAACTTTCAATATTAATAATTTTATTTCTGGATTAAGTTGCTGATAATGGAATCGTACTTTCCAAATCCACAAATTTTTCAGTAGCTGGAATAATATCTGATGTAAAGATAAATAAGTATAAATTCCTGTTTATTTATGAAAGCTCAATGACATTTATTTATTAATTGTTTGTTTGTTTAACGTTTCCGTAGGGTGAAAATGAAACGACGTCTCGAAAATTTCATTTTGGATTAATAGTTGATGAAGAAAGAATTACAAAAACGAAGAAAGGATATAGTAACTTTTATGCTGTTCTGAACATTCAATACGTCAATCCGATTGGAAGTTCAATTATTAATTTAGTCACCACAAAATCCAAAGCATATTCTTATCTTCTGGAAAACAATGTATCCATCGGAGAAGATTATGCGCATAAATTTTTCGAGTCTATTCCTTTCATACCTTCGACGACACCTCTTGATCTTAATAATGATACATATCGAGCTATTTATTGCAATATTATGATTCCGCTGGTTGAGCTAAGATTTGATCGAATCACACCATCCGATGAGTTAACCCAAGCTCTTGGGAATGCTCTGTCTGATACAAACCCATATGTTTTATTGTATGAAGTCTTCAAAAAGTTTGGCCATTTAGTTCCTCGCAAGATGATAATTGGTAAAAAGTTATCACGTAATTGCCAAGGATTTATTTTGGGATCACATTTAAAGCACTCAAACCAATCCAAGAAAAAATTTTTGTCGACTTCTAGTGAAAAATTTGATGAGATTCAACCAATTTTGAATGAATGGAAAAATCTTCTTTCAGTAAATGGGCTTGATTCAACCTACTTCATGTCCAGTGAAGGTCGTGCTATCAAGACAGAATA